TATATATATATATATGCATGTGTGTGTATATATATATATGTATCTATCTATATATATAGATATACCTATCTATATGTCTGTGTATACACACTCACACACACACACAAACTCGTTCAATAGCCCCCTTACATGCCTTTTAGTGTTTGTTTCTCATTACGATTTTATGACAACATACCTTATAAATTTTGTATAAAATCAGCACTTTAGGTTGAAGTACTCAATCTATTTTTTGAATCCTCGCAAAACATGAATACATTATTGCCCTGCCCGTCTTTACGCTTCTGCGCCTTTAAGAGCGGTACCACGTGCTGCGGAGGAAGTGAACTGACAACAGTAGCGGGTGAGTGTAAGCACTATTTTCCAAAATGTGCATTTTCCTTGCTTTGTATTATGACGTAACAGGGTTAAATGGACCGGCTTTGTAACAGGGATTCAGTTGTTTTTGTGTAATAATTTAAATGTTAACACGATAAATTCCTCTTTACATTTTATTATATTTTTTACATTACATGTCAATACAAATGAACAAATCGCTAAAATAATGATTGCGTGACTTAATTGCTAAGTGTATTTTCTTAAGGACTTAAGAATGGAGAGGCACAGTCTCTCCTGCTTTATATCAGACCATGAAGGTTTCCATGGGACCATAAAAAACTCACCCCAAGACTTTGTGGTTATTGAGATAGACATCAATGGACAACTTGTTAACAGTTCTAATGTTCAAGAAGAACATACAAAAAGTCCTTCTCAACCAAGTCAAGCTACCAAAAGTGATGATAAATTAAAGCAATCTAAACCAGATGACACTGACATTTTAAATCAGGATTGCTTTGATCTGAATATAATCTTGGGTCCAGCTGTGAACAAAGAGTTGGAACATTTCACTAACAAAGTGAGAGTAAGAGCTGGTGAGCAAGAAAAGGTGGAACTGTCATTGGGTACTTATCCTGATAAACACCTGAGAGCTGTTGTCCATAGAGCAGTACGATACAACTTCCCCTTCCTCCAGACTGTGACCAACCAATCAGAAATTCAGGTCAGAGAGGACCCAGACTTCAAGGAGCTTGCAAGTTTAGTCTCTGAGGGAGAAGCTGAGGAGTTCTTAAGGTTCATCGATGCCAAAGTACCTGGTTCTGTGTTCACCTTCCTGCCAGATGATAGCAAGGAGCACCGAACTTCAGTTCACCATTTTGTTAGCAGGCGGTTTGGAAAGCTTGTGGAAACCAAGAGCTTCACAGACCAGCAGAAGACGTCCATTACAGTGAGACTAAGAGAGAGAAGCAAACAACCCAAAAAGAGAACAACAGCAGATTTTCAAGAGGAGGTGATATTATACACAGGTGAGCAGAGAAGACAATTCATTTCATCATGTAAAGCTGATAGACTATGGAAACCTGCTTAAAATGTAAGACTTGAATGTAAGATGTAAATGTTCTTTTCCCCTCAGCTTTCACACTGAGAAAGGAGAACTTGGAAACTTTGGAGGCCATCAGCTATATGGCTGCTGTACTCGGAGTGCTTCCGTCTGATTTTACCTACGCAGGAATCAAAGACAAGAGAGCCATCACCTACCAGGCCATGGTGGTGAAAAAGATCTCTCCAGAGTGGTAAACGGACCATTAGCCAATTAGCCCATTATCTGATGTTCGGTCTTTTCCCAATATATATTTTTTTCTCTCTCTCTTTTCTTAAACCTAATTAAATAAGTAGCAAGTGGAAATGTCCGTTTTTGTTGCCATTTTTCTACTTTACATGGGTTTCATTCTGGGGTCTGGGGATACCCAGGGGGGCCACAAGAGGGTGTTAGGATTTCTGCAAAATATTTGAATGAAAAACAAAATTTTAGGGCTGTTAATGTTAACTTCAGATATTAGTGAAACAGTGATTTTAATATCCACATTCAGCAAATTTGATAACATTACAATTTCATTCTGATTTGTTGAACTGACCATTAATCATGAAATTAATTGAAAATATTTTATTCTATTTCTTAACTTAACTACAAGAAAAAAAGCAACAAAAAAAAGGTAAATATTTTAAAATGAATTACATTGTATATAAAAGTGGAGAGCGAAAAACAAATAGAATCAAAGCTGTTTAACTTTGGAGTCCCCTGTTATCTTTAGAAATTTGGGTACTGTAATTAGCACAATTAATGAACTAAGTTTTTTTTTTAATTGCAAATATTTTATTCGATTTCTTACCTTATCTGCAAAAAAATTAGAAATGAATAAAAGTAAATATTTTAAAATTAATATTAAATATTAATTTTGTTGTCTTTATAATATCACACTTTTTTTAATACATGAAAATGGAATGGGGTTCTTGACATCAAAAGGTTTAAAAAGCCCTGTTTTACTTCACTCAATTAGTAGATACATTTAACAATTCTATTGGCAGGTTGTTGGACAAAGTCTCAGAGTTTGAGAGGAGGGGAATGCAGATCTCTCGTGTCTGTCCTGTGTCTGAACCCCTTAAGCTCGGCAGACTCCAGGGAAATCACTTTGATCTTGTCATCAGAGACCTGAAGCCTCATGGGAAACATGGACTTACAGGACTGCAGCAGTTTGTAAAAGAGGCAGTGGAAAATGTGAAGGTAAATATATGTTCACCAGCATTTAATGAATAAATGGCATAGACACACACAGCTACAAAAAAAAAGATTTTGTTTTTACAGAACAGAGGCTTTGTAAATTATTATGGTCCCCAACGGTTTGGAAGTGGATCATGTGTCCAAGCAGACCAAGTAGGACTTGCGCTCTTGAAGGAGAAAATGGTACCAGTTCATGTCATTTATTTCCAATTAATGTCTATATTTGTTGCATTTGTTAAAAAGTCCTAAAGCCTTTGTATTTTGAGCAGGAGGCTTCTGTTAAGCTGTTCTTCACCCCAGAGGATGGTGAAGATCTCCAGAACAAGGCAAAACGTCATTTTCTTCTCACTGGTGTGTGCTGGGATTTCTCTGATAGTGAAGCTTGTGGTAGTACACCAAAAAATGAAAATGAGGTCATCGTGTGCTGTTTCTTTATGTCGTTCAAAACCCATTTGACTTTCTTTGCATACAGTTCCTATACATCGAAGAACAACTAACATTTTCCATATCTCTCTCTTCAGGGAATGCCAAGGAGAGCTTGGCTCTCATGCCAGCTTACAAAGCCAGAGAGCGGCTTATGCTCCGTGCGCTTCACAGGTACGGCAACGGACAGGAGGGTTGCATACGTGGCTGGCTCAGTTTACCCCACAGCATGAGGGTCTTCTACCTCCACTCTTACTGTAGCAGAGTGTGGAACGAAGCAGCCAAATACCGGCTCCAGAAACTGGGCTTTAAGCCTGTCCAGGGAGATCTGGTTTGGGCTGGATCTGAAAAGGGACTCAATGACACCACAGAGGAACTGAATACTCCACAGGTGAGGAACTTGGTTAAGTTAGTGCTCTGGGAAAGAAAAGAAAAAAGTTATGGACTGTATGTAGGTACTGATTTAAAACTTTTTTTTTAATTGTTGAAAAAGTAGAAAAAAGGTTTTGTTTCCTAAAATGGTAAAATAAGTATTTTAGTATTGTAATTTCTTTAAAATATTTATATATTTATGATTGAAAACTAGTATATATATGGGGTATATCTATCTATATGAAAATATCAAATATAGATAGATAGATAGAAAATATTTTAGATAGATAGAAAATATTTCATTTATAGACTTTCATTGTAATTGCTTTATTTCTGTGTTGTAGGTCCATGTTGTGACCTCTGAGGAGGAGAAGGATGAAGTTTTTTCATTAGACCAGGTTCTATGTTCTAATGTCTCCTTTCTTCTGACTGTGTCTGCTCTGCTAACCCTTACCCTTCAGTCCCTTATAATGTTTCTGCTGAATTGCTTCTAGGTAATTCTTCCGATGCCAGGGAATAGTGTCAAATACCCAGAAAACTTGCTGGGTCAGTGGTATCAAGACCGACTGGCTCAGGATGGCTTGGGGCCATGCCGTTTTAGAGTGACTCCCCTTAAACTCAATGTCCCGGGATGTTATCGCCCCCTGCTCGCAAAGCCACAGAATATCACCTACAGCCTGCGGACCGCAGAGGAGCAGCAGGGTCAGTCAGACGAGACTTGCACACCCAGTCTGTCACTAACCTTTGACCTGAATGCGTCCTGCTATGCTACTGTGTGTCTTGGAGAGATAATGAAGAGTAATCTTTCATAGTTGATTCAATGACAGTGATTAAAAATGTTTACAGACTAAATAATGTGGATCTTTGGTAACGTCAAATATAAGGGGCTGTTTTGTGCCATATTATGTAAATGACTACTAGGACTTCCTGTCATAAAGCATTTGTGCCTTCACTTACGGGAAAAGAAGAGGATATTCAGTACCGGTGTAATTGATGAGGAGGATGTGAGAGATCTATCTGGAACTCTCGATAGGCCTTGAAGATGTACATGCAAAGATTTAATAAAAATCTTAGACAAATCTCATGATTGTTTGGTTGTGTTTCAGTAATTGAATATTTCAGCTTCATGCATTTAAACACATAACTGACATCTGACATACTTTATGGCTTGTTAAAAACGGATCGGAATATTTGATCTTATTTGGGAGAATATGTCACTCATGACTGTTTTGAGATCAAATCCCACTATCACTTAATTTGAATTTTTGTCATCGTATCTAGCAAAACCCCCAAAACATCTAATTGCAAACTCGGAGGATAACTGACATTCATACGTTGATAAAGCTTTTTTTAATCTTGGTGTTCTGAGTTCAAACCCCACTATTGCTTATGTTAAACTTTAGTCATTAAATTGAACAAGGTTTTCTAAATGGCCGTGTTGCATGTTGAAACCTCAATGGTGTAGTGGTTAGATGTGCTATTTAGATATAGTTATAATTAGGACATGGGTTTAAATCCCACACTTGTTAAGGCTTTTCATTATTTTAAACAAAGCTCTCAATAAAACCTTGTCCAAAATACTGATCAGACCCATAGATTCCATGGGTCAGAAGTTGATGTGTTATATTTCCGTCTGGGAGACCCAAGTTCGAGTACCACAAGTGTTTACTTTAAACTGTTCTCATTAAATCAATGTCTTTAAATGGACATTGTTGTTGCGAAAGCCGCGATGGTGTAGTGGTTAAACACATGTTATTTGAGATAAGGCTGTGACTGAGACATGGGTTCAAAACCCTCAAACTCAAAGCTTTTGTTCATATAATACAAAACACTCAATAAAATCCACCCAAAAGATCGTTCAGCTCCGCAGGCTCAATGGTTCAGGAGATAACGTGTTGTCTTTTTGTCTGGGAGACCTGAGTTCAAATCCCACAATTGCTTGCTTGCTTTAAAACTGTTATTAAAATGAATGAAGTTCTCTAAATGGACAAGTCTGTTGTGTTTATCCTCAGTGGATAAACAATTTTTTTGACCTAAGGTCGCGATTGAGACGTGGGTTCAAAACCCACAAAAGCAGAGTTTTTCTTTATATAATATAAAGCACTCTATAAAACCATCCAAAACTCCTTTCAGCTTCACTGGCTCAGTTGATAAAGCACTGTGTTTTAATCTGGGAGATCTGAGTTCAAAACCCACTACTGCTTACTTCACATTGATCTCAGACAACAAAGTCACTCAAACGCCAAACCACAACGTGAAATCCATGATGGGTAAGTGGATAAACACATGTTCTCTAAGGATGAGCTTGCGATAGACACACGGGTTCAAATCCCACCTCCAAAAAATCACTTACTCATCTTGCTTTTACTTCGTTATTGGGAAATCACAGGTAAACAGTCAAATATAAGTTCCTTCCTGTGTTCCACCAAGAGATCTGTGGCTCACAGGTAAGAGCACTGCCCCATGGGTTTAGAGGTTGCTGGTTCGATCCCAGCCAGGTCTCTGTGAAGGTGTGCCCAAAGAGGGGGGGATACCAGTATGGTCTCCCCCTGGAGTGTCCGGCACTGTGACCTGCAGTGGTTATGCTTTTGGACAGAGTGAAGAGGAAAAAAAAAAAAAAAGCTGCATAAAAATTCTCATCCCCTGTCCCTTCCCCACCTACTTAGGTTACCATCATTTGCTTTTCAAAGGGGAGGCCCTTCAAAAAGAAAATGATGGTAACCTACATGTTTAGTGCACTAGAACACACATTCACACATTAGATACATTACCTGTCCATGAGCAGATGTCCATCATTACAGTCAATGTCTGTCCACACGTCCCAGAGCTCTGCTTCAGCTGGACGAGTTTACAACCAACAAGACACCACTTATTCTGGAGAGACAAGACAGAAATACAGACATTATTAGACATACTGCATATCAAGACGAAAAACAGGTAATAAAAATTGAAAAATATATTAATATTGCATATTTATAAAACACTGCAATCTCTATTATACTTCTGTAATGCTGTATCAATCAGTTTCATTCAAACTACTGCTCGTTTCGGTTTAGTCCTGATTATGCTATTAATTAAATTACTTTCTTGCAGGCCACAAAAAAAAAAAAAACCTACAAATGGAAATGCTGAATCATAATAAAAGACAATCTTCCTATCAAAAACAATCCCTGATCTACAAAACCTGAGAACAGGATTACAGAAACATCGCGAGCAAATGATTCAGTGTTCAGTCACTGCCTGTAAACTGCTCTAACATCAAATTTAATTTATTGCATCATGCTTTTCATTTTTTGCGACATATTTTTATGACAAATAAAACAGCATTTTAATGGCTGCGCTCTTATTATGGCAGTCAGAACTAGAATCATCAGAGCTTCACACAACACCTGCTGCAGGATCAACAGAGACAAACAGCGCGATTCCTCATTATTACACTTTACAATGTCAATATCAGGGCGATTCGTTCAGAGGTTATAAACGAAACGCAACAACTACCGATTCATTTGCTCTACAACGCGTGCAAGTCATTTAACAAGAGAGATTCGCTTTATGCGGAAAGTTACTTACAGGGGAGTCGCGTCACACTCGATTCCAGCGTTTTATCGGACCGTGTGTCGGTTTTATTTGCAGATTAGCTGAAAAACATGTTGTTAAACTGACATTAACAGCTGTCGTCTGCAGGATCGGCACGTGTTGTTGTTGTGACTGTCATCAAGCGTCATGCTGTCAAGCAGCCGAAGGAGTCAGACTGAAGGTGAAAGCCGCTTGTGCCGCCTAGTGGAGCGGATGCAAAACTGCACATTCATTTCTGTCATTCTACTATTCCTGAGAAATTATTTTTTTAGAAATGTATTTTAACAAGAACAGAGAGAACAGAACAAATTCCTCTTTAAGTTCATTAGACTCAGTTTGCAGCGGTGTAATTCACAAAAATCACCACAGGAGGGCCTGCTTTAGGTCCTCTGACTTTTTTGCACACCAGTTTATTTTAGTAGAAGAGGACAGAACAAAATCATATACAAACAATGACCTAAAATAGCAATGCACAAAAAAAACACAGGAGGGCGTTCATTAGACTTGGTTCAGAGTAGACTCATTAGACATGCTGTGGTGATTTTTGTGAATTACAATCGAGTCTAAGGAACTTAAACTGGTTCGGCCCGGAGACACGGGTTCAAGTCCCACCTCCAAAAAATCACTTACTCATTTTGCTTTTACTTCTTTATTGGGAAATCACAGGTAAACAGTCAAATATAAGTTCCTTCCTGTGTTCCACCAAGAGATCTGTGGCTCACAGGTAAGAGCACTGCCTCATGGGTTTATACAAGCGAGTCTAATGAACTTAAGATGGTTTCACCCTCCTGTGGTGATTTTAGCTTCACAGACTCAGTGGCTCAGGAGATAAAGCTTTGTGTTTTAATCTGGGAGATCCGAGTTCAAATCCCACTACTGCTTACTTCACATTGATCTCAGACAACAAAGTCACTCAAACGCCAAAACACAACGTGGAATCCATGATGGGTAAGTGGATAAACACATGTTCTCTGAATATGAGCTTGCGATGGAGACACGGGTTCAAGTCCCACCTCCAAAAAAACCATGTACTCATTTTGCTTTTACTTCTTTATTGGGAAATCACAGGTAAACAGTCAAATATAAGTTCCTTCCTGTGTTCCACCAAGAGATCTGTGGCTCACAGGTAAGAGCACTGCCTCATGGGTTTAGAGGTTGCTGGTTCGATCCCAGCCAGGTCTCTGCGATATGCGTGAATGGTGGAGTGTGTGAAGGCGCGCCCAAAGAGGGGGGATACCAGTACGGTCTCCCCCTGGAGTGTCTGGCACTGTGACCTGCAGTGGTTATGCTTTTGGACAAACGGAAAGAAAAAAAAAAAAGCTGCATAAAAATTCTCACCCACTGTCCCTTCCCCACCTACTTAGGTTACCATCATTTGCTTTTCAAAGGGGAGGCCCTTCAAAAAGAAAATGATGGTAACCTACATGTTTAGTGCACTAGAACACACATTCACACATTAGATACATTACCTGTCCATGAGCAGATGTCCATCATTACAGTCAATGTCTGTCCACACGTCCCAGAGCTCTGCTTCAGCTGGACGAGTTTACAACCAACAAGACACCACTTATTCTGGAGAGACAAGACAGAAATACAGACATTATTAGACATACTGCATATCAAGACGAAAAACAGGTAATAAAAATTGAAAAATTTATTAATGTTGCATATTTATAAAACACTGCAATCTATATTATACTTCTGTAATGCTGTATCAATCAGTTTCATTCAAACTACTGTTCGTTTCGGTTTAGTCCTGATTATGCTTACTTATGATTACTTTCTTGCAGGCCACAAAAAAAAAAAAAAAAAAAAAAAATGGGTAAAATAAGAAAAGGGGTTCCCTTCCATGCTACATTTCAGCATAGTTAAACTTTTTGTGTAAATGCATCTAAATGCCACTTCAGCTGCTTCTGTTTCTTCTGCAGTGGAAAGATCGGTTTTGTTAATACTGATTTCATTTAACTGGAAACAGCCCTATAGTGTCTTATTATATTAAGTGAAATTATTAATAAATTGAATTTGATATGAAAGATGATGCATGCATTTAATTAGGTTAGGGGAAAATGTCCTTTAAATAGGCAAACAATGACCTGGAAATCAATTTAAATAAATTTTAGTATGCAGTAACTTTAGTCATATAAAACGTAATTTCCCAACAACAAAATTGTGGCCAGTGAAATTGCTGAGTGGTTAATTTTGGAAAACCACTAGCCACAGTGGCTGGTGAGCAAAAAAGTTAATGTCAAGCCCTAAATGTATTGTCATAATTATAAACACTGGTTTGTAGTGCAAATAGTTTTACAATTTACTGCAGTTTACGCTTCTAGTTATTAACCTATAGCGGCTAATGAACTGCACATTCACAGACAATAGCTTACTACCGTATTGCAAAATGAGGTGAATATGTCTGAACAGAATGGTTCTGGCGAAATGTAAATGACAGTAATTATAAACACATTGGTTTGTAGCACAAATGGTTTCCTCATTTACTGCACTTATTATTTACAGCGGCCAATGAATCCAATTTTTGTGCACATTCAAATAAAATAGCTTATTCTGCATTGCAAAATAATGATTGACAAATGTATCTGGCATTTTTCCATGCTCCGCCACTGGTTAACTCAGACAAACTTTATAGTATATCCTGTATGAATTATACTTTTGGACAGAAATTGTCATTCCCCGTTCCTTCCCCACCTAAGTAGGTTACCAATACCATCATTTGCTTTCCAAATGAGTGCTCTTTCAAAAAGAAAATGATAGTAAGTAAGTAACCTACACATTTACAAGCAAAACAGCACACACTGACAATGTCTGAATTACCTGACAGAGGAGCTATGAATCGGAACTACACATTAACAAACATTTAAATTACTTAAATACAATAGTTAAGTACTGCCAGACGTGTGGTGGTGATTTAATAAGGTAAATACCATAGACTGTAAAAAAAAAACAACAACAGGTAAATACACTGGAAGAGAAGGAGACTTACAGGTGAGTTGCGTGACATCTTCCATTCCTGCGCTTTATCACAGCGTTTGTCAGTTTGGTTTGTTTATGGGCTGAAATGTGTGCTGTTAAGTGACTATGTAAGTCTGTAACTGAGCTGTCATCTGCTAAATGTATACTTAAATCAGTCTGCACGTGTTGTTGCGACTGTTATCAAGCGTCATGTTGTCAAGCATCCGAAGCTGTCAAACTAAACTAAAGCCCGCCTGGTGGAGCGGATGAAAAACTGCACTTCTGTTCGTACATTATAAGTCATATTTTATTGCCAACGGACTCAAAGTTGCTTCAGAGATTGGGTCATTGTCCATGTTAGAAAACGGCGATCTTCTTTCTTTCCTACTGAAGAAAAAGCAAAAGCCTCTTTTTTTATTTGGTTCAATGTGTACCAGGCAGGTGACAAACAGCTGATCATCAGCTCCCTCTAGTGGTCAAATAAGTTGATCTGCATTATTAACTGAAACTACAAACCTGAGATGGCAAATCATAGGTGAGAGGACCGACATTTAAATTTAGAATATTTTACAACAAATCTATATTTTGTCATGCTCTTGACCAGCAGAGAAACTTGGATCTAGTAGTTTGTTAAATGATCCAGATCAGCTTTCAACTAATGTGTTAAGTCAGATAAAATGTTGTGTTGTTGAACTCAATGGCATAATGTAAACTCAACTCATAATGTAAACACATAATAAAAAAATATTTTATATTGTGTCTATAGCTGAAGTAGATGTTTATTTGATTTTATTTATGATGTTTGTTCACAATTAGACAATGACTTTGTGTTGTTGTGTTTGCAGAATCGAGCAGCATTTAGTAAAGCTTGACTGGATCTTCCTCTGTGTCACTGATGAGGAGGATATGAGTCTCTCTGGAGCTCTGGATCATGAGGCTATAGATGGAGGAGTGAGACTCTGGCTTCTGCACACCTACAAAATCAAACATCACAACATTTAATACAAATTAAACCAAAGTAAAATGGGCTGGTGGAAATGATTCTCCGATGGGTCAGAGAGCATCCCCTCATACATAGAAGAAGCGTTTTGGAGAATGGATGGATAACATGCATGAGACCATCAATGTGTTAGCAGTGGTTCCCAATCCTGGTCCTGGAGAACCCCCAACACTGCACGGTTTTGGTGTCTTTCTTATCTGACACACATTTGAGGTCTTGGAGTCTTCACTAATGAGCTGATGAGTTGAATCAGGGGTGTGTGTATAGAGGGAAAGTAAAAGAAAAAACACTGGAATACTGCAACACATTCATATTCAGTAAACAAGACAACATTAACATGAGAATGATGGGTAATTCCATTTAATTTCCAGCAAATTCATTAAATGACTGAAAGATCAAATATTTATTTTATTACCAAAATGTTATCTATTTCCTAAATAAAACCTGAAAATTGGAATTGAAATGGAATTTATCAAAATGCCACACAGCAGTCTAATATATTAACTATATTGTAATTGAATTGGAAACTGATCCAATTAAAGAAAGGAAAAAAACATCCAACAAAAAACACAAACATAAAAAATTCACAATGTTCTGCTCCAAGATTATTCTAAGGCATTGCCAAGTACTCATGTTGTTTATACATTTTAGTTTTGCCAAAAAATGAACAGATTTAACCCACCTTCACACCATCTGTCTTCTTGTTCAACAAGCTCTTGGCTGCTGTTGGGTGAAAAATAAAAGGGAATGGTGAATATGTATGTATTATAACATTACAAATCCATCAAGGCACATGCAGCAGGCATTCTGAGATTATTGTTCTCCTTATTGTGTCACAAGACCTCGGGCAGGAGAAACAATTCACAGTCATACAAATCATTCATTTTTAGGATAGGAAGTCTTAGTAAACTAATGCAAGGCGAAGGGATCAAAAAGATTAAACCCAGACACAATTAAAACCAAAATAAGCAACTCTGTTTTTAGGGGATGTGTGTTAGTGTTAAATTATATACTGTACAATTTGTTGTGCTGTACAATCTCCTTGTTGGTAAACATATCAAGAAACATATCGCACACACTTTCCCTCAAAGATAGAGTTGCTTTAAAATACAGTTTATCACAAAATAAGTGCAGATGACCATACAGCTATTACGCTAAATCAAAGATTTTCTATCATTCTAATTCTATTATAACATGTTTAGAACTATATTTTGGTAACAGCCATCATATGTAAATGCGAAACCTCTGAATTATACCTTATATATAAATGTAACATTCCAGGATGTACATGAAAATATGCAGATGGAAATATAACCAGAAAATGAGCAAGCATTCAAAATATTTCTTCTACGAGCAAGACAGAAAACTCTCCCAGTAACTTAGAATTATTATTGTGATTACATTCATAAAGAACTTGTTTTTATTATATTATTGAATATGCGTATTTGCAGTTGAAACTTCAAGTTTTGTTTGTTTAAAACACTGAATGTAAGTTAAAATGTAAGTTCATATAAGTTCAACTAAGTGTCAGTTGACATTATGAATGTAATCTGTTTGATTCCATGCAAACAAGGGTAATTAGTATCTCAGAGTAACAGGGGAAGTGTGTCAAACAAGCAAACCAGCTCACTGGTTAGAGTAAAAACACATCCCCTTCTTATGTCCAATCAGACTCTTACCTCACGAGACACACCGGACCCCCCCAAAAAGAGATAAAGCAATGATAAACAGAAAATAAATGTTAAATAAAATGTCTGAAATGGCGTGTGTTACCACCTTACTTTAAAACAGCCTTTGTCCAAAAAATAAAAATAATTAAAACTAATTAACAAATTAACTGCAAAATAACTAATAACAAGGTTTATGAAAAAAAATAGCATTATGAATCAAGTTCACATATAAGAAGATAAAAAGAAGAGAGTTTAATACAGCTGTAGGTTAAGCACACACACACACATTCACACATACAGGTCAGCAGAGCCAGACATACCTGAGAAGTTTCTTGTGACCAGGAGAGTGGTCAAAATTGCACCCTAGTTGCAAAAAAGGTTTTGAAAATGAAAGAAAAGGAATAAAACAACAGGCAAGAGAGAAATGAAAGAAAGAATAGTACAGAAGCAACAGCAGGAGCAATGTATACCCTCATTTTTATGATGTATTTGGAGGATGTCTAATTTGCTAGAATATCTTGTTTGTTTGGGCATTGCAAATAATCATTGCATTACATAATCAATTCTTGGAGATTTTGGAAATAATGAATAAAGAATTTTTTTTTTCTTTTCTAATTTACACATAATACCACCAATTACTTTTTTAAAATAAAGAATGTGTGTTACTTTTCTGGCGAATACAATTGAAAACTTTCACTTTTCCACAACATTGTCACTTTGTCCCAGGGATCCGAGGCTGGGCTGGTTACCCTGCTGGTAGATAGCCTGTAACTACATCATTATCCGAAAATAACTAACTTACGTTCTGTAATAACTGACAAATGTAATATAATTAATTAGTATAGGTAGTAATGCTATAATATGAAGCAGTACATTTAAAAGAAACTTTCTGGATCTAGATCTTGCAGTGAGGAGGTAAATGCATAGTTTGTGAGACTCTGTGAAGTGTAAAGAAAGCTGAAGATTGGTCAAAACACATGTAGAAGTTGTCTGAGTAAAGTCAGACCAAAACTAACCTTGAGTTTCCTTCTGGCATTGAATTTCTTCAGGCACTCCACAGTTTCCTGTCTGTGCATCATAGAGGCTACAGTGGAGCGTTGCTACACAAAGACAAAGAAAGACAGAATGATTCCAAGCCATTAGAGAGGATTAGGAAATTATTTTGTTGTATATAAAGAAGCATGCATTTTAGTGTGTGTTGAAACACATACGCAGATCCAAGGGTGTTTGAGGGCTTCAGCAGCTGTGATGCGTTTAGAAGGATTGATAGTCAACATCTTATTAATCAGATCTTTAGCATCAGGGGTCACTGTGTCCCACTCAGGAGAAGGAAACTACATACAGACATGAAACATAACAGAATAATCCATCATTTAATACTTTTTGTATGAATTTGTAAGCCTTAGAAGCCAAGAAACTGAAGATGGCATCAATTTATCATCAGAGTTATTAGCAAAATCATCAGATGTTGCATTTGTAGCTCTATAGTGTGTTCTCTTTTTGTGAACATTTTGCAGGCAAATCATTGGAAATTCAGACTCACGTCATATGCACCAGCCTTAATCTGCTGATAGAGGCGATGCTGGTCTTCATCCCAAAATGGTGGATATCCAACCAGCAGAATGTAGAGAATCACACCTATGAAACATATCTTCTATTATGGCCACATTGAAAGAGGAATATTCTTCAAACAAATACTTGAATATCAACTAACTTGGACATAAATTCGGCTGATGTCTGTATTCAAGCAATCATATTCAAGCACAGAGTACTGTATAGTGAAACCATATAGGTTTTTTTTTTGGACATGGTACATTGGTACTACTACGTTTTTTGGACATGTGCCATAGCAAGGTATTCCTTGAAGAGTGGCCTTTTAAATACTATGGTGCATGAATATGGTAATCATTCCGTACTATTCAGAATGTATAACTCAAAGTTCCATTGTATTACCATCTGGTCATCTTTTTGTAAGTTGGAAGAACTTCCTGATGGTGAATTTGAATAATTGTGCAATCATTTTTACATCAAGGCTTAATTGAAACATTCGTTCAACTGCTTGCATTGGACTAACTAGTGTTAAGCCTAAAAACAGAAAGACAATTTACCAGGCACACTCCATTTAGCTGATTCGATTCAATGCTGCTTAAAAACTCAGACTGCAATAATTTAATAATCGGTTAATCTACTTCAACAGTGACATCCATCACACCGACTCACGTACAAGGCTGATATTTTTGTGACTCATTCATCCCTTACCGCAGGCCCACATGTCCACAGGTTTGCCATAAGGATCTTTCCTCAAGACCTCTGGGGACAGGTACCCTGGAGTACCAGCAAAACCTGAACAGAGAGAGAAGTAAGGGAGCAGTTTCTACAGTATTTAATTGTTATAGTTTAGAACAGTGGTTCCCAATCCTGGTCCTGGAGAACCCCCAACACTGCACGGTTTTGGTGTCTTTCTTATCTGACACACATTTGAGGTCTTGGAGTCTTCACTAATGAGCTGATGAGTTGAATCAGGTGTGTTTGAATAGGGAGACATCTAAAATGTGCAGTGTTGGGGGTTCTCCAGGACCAGGATTGAGAACCACTGTGTGGTGTTGATGTGTGTGTGTTAATCTCCAATAATTGTAACTGCATTAATTCATTAAAAAAGCAGAAGGGGAAAAACTCAAAGGGATCTCATCCACTTTTCTGATTTTAGCTTCAACCCTGATTAAAAACAGTTGAAGCAGCTAATCTTTTTTTTTTTTATTGAACAATCATTAATGTACAAACAACTTGGCCATATCAAAACATCTTCACATTACAATATACAGAACATGTGCATGCAAATACAACAGAAAGAGAGAGAGAATGGGGGGGGGACCTTGAAGGGGGGCCAGGGTTTTTCTTGTAGATCATAATCCATAATAATAGAAAACAGAATTATTGCATTTTTCTTTTTCATCACTTTAAGGGCTTTTGTATACAAAACAAACTCATTATGAAATGCATAAAAAGCTGGTTTTACTTTCAAGAACCTAGATTTGTGAATATAAAATTTTCCCAGCATAAGGATGCTATTGACCAGAAAATCATCTTTGTTATTGTTCATTGTTGAAGCAGCTAATCAAGGACTTCAGGATTAATAGAAACTTTCAGGCTGATGTGTTGGACTTGTGTCCAGTGACAATATAAAAGTTTATTTGAATCAACAAATTGTTATTTACAAGTTTTGTATCTGTGAAATTGCATTATCAGTTTCAGTTTGACGTGTTACGTACGACCTGTGGCTATGCACACCGGATTGTCACAACATGTAAAATTAATAAAGTTATTAATGATCATCTGTATGTGACTGACTTGGATCAAATCTCTTGATTGTAGAAGCTTCTAAATAACGCTAAATCTAAATAACTTTTAAAAACACAAATGCAAAAATTCTCAGACAGTGGTCAGGTTTGAACCCTGATCTTTGGCATCAGGTTTAGCTCCCACGCCTTGAGCTCTGACCACTAATGCACCAGCATCTCACACTAACAAATGTTCTTTTCTATTATTTAAAGAAAACGCAAATGCATACTTAAAAAAAAATAAGATAAAATTAAAAAAATAATTAAAATAATAATAATAATAATAATTGCAAAAATAATCAGATTTAATCAATTTGGGGAAAAGGCAAATGCACACATTTTGAAAAAAATATTAATAAAATAATGATATTAAAAAAATCAAAATCACAAAAGTTTCATAATACAATTTAACGTTGCATAATATTTTAATAACATTTAACTGTAGTTCATAACCTGCATAATGGCGCTATGTACTGTATATATTATTATGTATTATATCTCCACAAAATAAGTAATACATTTATCGAGGAGAAAAGTGGCCTCAAATGTCTTCAGTTCAGTAGTCCAGCAAAACCCGCAGTGCTCTTGCATACACAATGCGCTAAAGGTCTTAAACACGATTTTCAATCAGGCGATTGGCTGCTGCCGAATTTAGCCTAGTGTGCTGTTTGGATACCTAAAAAAATAATGCAACAATTTATGTTTGGGGTAGAAATAGTGATATACTTTGTTTCTGTCTTCATTCACTTTTTACGTAGATGACAAAAATTGTAAACATGTTTCACTTCTCATTTACTTGAGTGTGTTTAACTGCACGTGAGACCCACCCAGATCATAATTACAGGAACATAAGCTTATAAATGTGCTGTGAAGCAGCAGGAGAACATCAGAGCTTCACACAACACCAAGAACCCAGCAGACCTACAGTCACATTACAACATAAGCAGAGAAAACGCACTAGGCCTATTGTTTATCATTCAACTTCATACCTGTATATGAATCACCTCCTTAGATTATAAGGTAATGCAAAGCTAGTGAATTTAAAAAGAAAACTTACAGGTGAGATGCGTAACATTCCTGATTTCCTGCAATTTATCACAGTGGGTCAATGCTGTTTTTGTAGATGGGCTGGAATATGACAAGTCTGTCATTCAGCTGTAATCTGCAGGTTACAGCTTTTAAGTATCCGAATATGTTGTGGCGACTGTCATCAGTGGAGCGGATGGCACACTGAACAGTTTCTACCAGACTGCGTTCCAAATTGTGTAGAACCTACATTGATATATGCATACTCAAATCCCTATCGGTTCCATTAAATGTATGTAAAAAATCGGGAAGTAGTGCTATATACTCTTGATGACGGCATTTATGTCACACACACTTTACTACTGTACGCATTCGCTAGTCTACGCGGACAAACTTTTAATAAGTTAAGAAATATTTTTAGGCTCACTCCTGTGTGTTTAGGTGCACAACTATTTTACTCGAGTCCTAAGCTGAATTGCATTTTATTTTTACTACTGTTCATAGTAGGTGCGCTTCTTCATTGTGACCACCAGATGGCAGTAACTGTGCAGAAAAGCTTTGCTTAATGAATCCAAATTCAGCACGTTTGTATTGAAAGAGGCTGTGAGATAGTAAACTGCACTTGCAATTGGGTTAAAACATAATATTGTACCAAAACATTCAAAAGAAGGGAAAATACATTTATTCAAAGAAAAAGTTCTTTAGCTAGTGATTTTGTTTCGTCAGTGCTTGAAGACCAGCTTTGCAGATGCTAGACCTTGCCGGTGCTCAATATCTGTGGTCCGTCGGGGCTTGGACTTGTAGAGGAAAGTTTATAAAAACACAGGCTCTCATTCATACGTAACATAAACAGCCTCATGGCCTCTAAACCCCTTCAAACAAGTGCTCACCCTGTCTCTTTTTCTGATTCTGACTTTAAGTTTAGATCCTTTATGTCTAATTATCTTTGTTAGTCATCGCCTCAAAACACTTTAATCAAAGTAAACCTTTAAATTACAGTATCAAACCCCAAAAGGCCAGAATAAAAGGATTGATTAAGGGACTGGGTCATAATGTTCACCTTAAATGATTACATTCTGGCATTCCAGATGCTACCACATCCAGAAAATGTTTCACGCTGTTCTGGCCTCAGAGAGCAGTGTGTTTTGTGTGCCTCAGCTATGGTGGTCACTGTTTAAATCTGTCAGGATGGGGTATGTTGTTTATACCTCAGTGTCAGTTGTGGTAAGCAACCGATGAGCAAGCGCAGTCTCCATTTTGGTCTGGATGTTAAATTGTTTGGAATTGAAAAACAATGCTCTCTGTCTTGTTTTCACAAGAATTTGGTTGTTGACATTGAGACCCCAGCGTCCTGTCCTCATCTTTAGCTTTATGAGATTTGTGAAGCTCGGCTGAAAGCAAGCACTAAAGTTAACAAATCATCAAAGGGATACTGGAGTAATGTGATGAACTTCACAGATGAATCTCACGAAGAAATCTCTGGGTCATATCTCACCCCAACATCAAAAGAAATAATAAGAAATTATATTTTGCATACATAAAACAAACGCTTTCACTTAATGTAATCTTGAGTGAAATTAGCAAATTTTCTTCTGTAATTCTCATTACTGAAATTTAAAAAAAAAATCTTATTATCATCATTATCATCATCCTGTATGGACACAATGACTTAAGTGATTTTTAAAGAAATATTAAAATAATAAAATTAATTTAAATGTAAAAATATTGTCATTTTGAATGTTTTATTCATCAGAGAATCCAGAAAAAACGTGCTGCTATGTAAGCAGCTCTCTGACCAGAGTTATGAAAATTAAGCTTTGCATCACAGAAATAAATTGCATTGTAAAATATATTAAAATAAAAAAAAGTTATTTTAAATTTAAATAATATTTTACAATATTTCTGTTTTTATTATATTTCTAGTCAAATAAATTCAGCCTTGGTGAGCATAAGAAAAAAAAATAATTGTAAAAAATCTACTGAATGATAATATATATATACATTATTTCCACAAAATATCATTTTGTAATTCTTCCTCTTGATTTTGGGCTGAAATATGAGATTCACTCCAACATCCAAGTGTCCTAAATTTTATTCTACGATGGCAGGAACGTGGCACACAAATCTGTTTGGTGTCACTCCGCAGGGCAAACATATTGATCTGTGGAAACCACTAGCTAAATTATCAACAACTGACAGGCAACAGGAATCGAGAGCAATTGTTGGAGGCAATATTTCCAGTGTTTTAACATTTCAGAGAGGGACTCGGCCAACTGAAATAAACACACAATCAATTGAGCTCACAAGATTTTAGCCGTGCTGTTTTTTTCCCCTTCATTTCATTCCCACAGTCTCTTGATGCTATTTTCATGTATCATCTACAATCGTAACATAACGTTTTGCCTATGAAAATGCCAAGGTGCTTTCCAATGGGAATTTTCATCGGATGGGTTAACTTTTTGATTATTTCCTTAATTTTTATTGAAAATAAATGCCTTTACAATGTGATACGAGATTTGAAAAGGGAGAAAAAAAAAAGATCGGCAAAAGGTGGGATCGAACCCGGGCCGATCACG